GCGGCGGACCACATGGGGGCACTCACTTCAGTAGGAATGACATATCTTCACACGCACACACACACACGCCCACACACACACGCCCACGGATACATAGTTCATGCACGCGAACTTGTTGTAAACTTTCTCCGACTTCATTCCGCACGGGAACAGATATCGAGTAGACACACCTATAGGCAGACCGCCACGTCCTCCTCCTACCCATCACCAGTGGCCTCTTAATCGCACACTGATGCAGTGATCAGTTATCACCCTTGGCAGTAGCCTGTGTATCCAGGCGCGTGCATGTTGTTTACGCCACGCAATGACCGACCATCCAACTCTCTGTCCGAATGTGGCTGCCAATTCCTCACTGACCCTCCCCCCCCCCCCAACCGGTATCCGTACCACATCCAGGGATGATGCGGCGCTGTGGTGACCTGCTCAACGGCCACGCGTGGGATGGATGGTGTGCCTCGCCAGCGGGAAAGGGGTCCTTCAGCAACAAACAACCTAGAAACCCAGCATTAAAACCTTGAGGTGGGGGGTAGATGTGGGTGTTGGCAGTAGCAGCGGTGGTGGCGGTGATGTCGTGAATAACTGTTCCATTTTTTCGAGCAGGAAAAAGCAACTGAACCAAGACCATGTCGGGTAACGGGAACAGCTCTTAGCTGACAATACAAATGGTTTTAGGAAGCCATGCGCGTGGGCGCGGCCTTCGCAGTTGCGACAGTCTCGGTGGTCGAGAAGAAGGAGACACGATAGCTGAAAGAGGAACTTTATTAGCCTGACGTTTCGGACTCTCACTTAAATCCATCATCAGAGACAGGGTCGGATAAGGGCGGTAAATTGTTCAGATGTTTCCCAGATGTGATAGGCATGTAACGGCCTAGCAACTACACCCTGTAAATACTGCAACACCTGGGCAATTTACCCCCCCCCCCCTTATCTGACTCTGCCTCTGATGATGCATTTGAGTGGAAATCCGAAACGTCATGCTAATAAAGCTCACATTCCAGCGGTCGTGTCTCCTTCTTCCCGACTACTTCCTGGAACCCGCTTCTCCGCTTTTATTAGTCCCAAAGGTTCCCTGTGAATTTGCAGTCACCTCAAGAGCAGGCTCTCCCATCCACTTTGGTCAGCATCATTTGAAGTAAAGAGAGAACCGCTCTGATGGAGGCTAAATTATCTCTCCGACCGTCGGTTTAGGTGAGGGGAACGTCCTGCGCGTCGCCAACTGTATCGCGAAGTGTAAAGGTCAAAGACCAGGGGAATGGGAGGTTGGCATGTCCATGTACATTTTGATGCTGTCATCCACCAAATCGCACTAAAACCCCACGCCCAGAAGACCTCATATATGATCTAGGATCTTTCAGGTCCTTGAGCGAAGCACTTTGACAGTTGGGCCTCACGTTTGAGCTATGTCGTTGCTATCTTGGATATCCAAAGCCATATGAACATGGTTTTTGCAGATTTGGCCGATAGCAGGAAAGAATACTGGTACTCTGGTCTGACTTAGAATTCTTGTCTCGGCCCCATGTAGACGGTCACATTGTGAAGAGATGTCTTCTGTCTGTTTTTGTAACATTTATCGTTTACTAACTGATTGTTGCCATGTGATTGGCCGCAATGCTTCAGGGATAGAGCCTCAAGGCAAGACGGAACATCTCTGTTTCGTTCTACAATCAGAACGGATTGAGGAATGTCATTCCCACACGAACTTAAAGTCGCTCACTGAACCTTGATCTCTGCTCCTCTCCAGTTCTGGAATAAGATGTATGCGGGGACCTGGATAAACAATAACCCAGCCACCTCACCTTTAACTCCATATTTTCTACAGATTCTGCATTAAACAGTTTCTTGTGCTCAGGTTAGCAAAAGTAAGAGATCCGGGTTGATAATCTGAGAAAAATGAAGTGCTCACCGGATCGAGAGACTTGTTCGGCTGACGTTTTGAAGAGCTGGGGCGGCTCTCCGTAAATAAAGCGTCTAGTGAAAAATCTATCAGAATTTCGAATAGACAGCCGGATTAGTTGGCCTTGGGCTGATCGATTGTTTTCTTCTTTCGCTGCCTTGGCCTACTGGCCGTCGCCTGTGAGTGTTGGTGGTCTCCTATATTGTGTGTCGTTACTTCAGTTGGCGTTAGTTGCGTTTGCGGCCCCTTTTGGGTGAACTGGTCGACAGGCCGTGCTTGCTCGTTAGTCTTAGGCTCCGTACGACTGTCTTGTTTTCGTCACGGCGTATGTAGTAACGTAGGACTTTATAGGTCGAAGGAAGGTCTAGATGTCTATTGATGGAGTTGGTATCTGAGTACCAAGCCTCAGGTGAGAGACGTTCTGTCCATGAGGTGCCCCTGCCTAAGGCGGCTGCTCCTTAAAAATCAAAACTTTGATCAGTTTCCCCGATGTGAGCCGCAAGCTGTGAGTTTGTGTCTAGTCTCCGAGCTGCCAGTTTGTGCTCATTCAGGCGGGTCTGCAATTTCCGTCTGGTTTTCCCAACGTAGTTGCAGTCTCCATCGTTGCAACGTATTACATAGACAACTGTTGAGGTTTCAGTGGGTGGCGGTATGTCTTTGATTTGCAACAAACTGCGACGAATTGCTGCCTGGGATCGATGGGCAATGCCAACCCTGGAGGATTTGTAACAGTCGTGACACCGCCTCAGAGACTCCTATAATGTCAGAAATAGTCCTCCAATCTTCGGGTTGTTCTTCTTACGGCCGCTCCAGCTCTTCGAAACGTCAGCCGAACAAGTCTCTCTACCCGGTGAGCACTTCATTTTCCACAGTTCCTTGTCTTAAGCGATCACCAAGTCAACGTGGTGGTCAATTCGTCGGGTGCTAGGGGCCAACTGTTCAGCTCTTTAAGGCGCCTGCTCAGTTGCCCTGTTTAGTGTTTCTCCTGGGGCAGTATGTTCGCTCGAGTGGTTGGGGTCCTCTGACCTGAGGACAGTGCGACAGTCGAAAGCGACGAAACCTGCCATGTGCGCCATGGGGTGGCCGCGGCACCGGTGACTTATGATACGACGGACTGTTACAGCCTCTACCGCGCTCCTGCTTGCTATCACTGCCGTGTTCCGAAACTGGGACAAAGCCAAGATGACAGGAGGTGGGTTCTGGTACGGTGGTTGAGAGGCCTAAATAACCCGTCTACGCGGGCCACGCACGGTCCAATCTCTAAAAGATGCGCAGCGCTTAAGTGGTGTGATGGATGCCAGCTGCTGCAGTCAGGCAGATAGTGATTTTCGCCTGAGATCTTCAGCGCGCCCACCGGACCCGAGTATCCGGATAGTGACCAAGAGCATCCTTACTTAGTTTCCGCTAATGTAGGTTGCATAGACCTTATTGGCCAGTACAATGTCAGTGCGGATGTCCACGGTCAAGCGAGTTGCTTGTTTGCTACCTTCGCTCACAGAATAGTGTCCGCTATCTTCATCTTGGTTAGAAACCTGCTAAAAGGCTGAGGCATGCCGATTTTCGTCCACAGTTGGTTCACGGTGGCGGACTCCCATAATACTGAATTCGTTAACTACAATAGTTGAGCTAGCTCATGAGATATAAACCGAAATTCCGAACCGCGTTTTCGTTTCCAAAAGATTAATTAAGCAGGGTTGTAAAATTAATCATCTTGCAGCATAATTATATAATAATTCGCTTACCCCAGGACGCCGGCGTTCAAATGAACTCCATTCCGGCTGCATGCAAAAACCATACTCTGTAAAAAATGGCTTCTTATGTGGCATGCATTTTTCTCATTTATTTTTGATGCCCTTAAAGATTTAATTATAGTTCATCGAAAACATTCATAAAAATATTCATTCTTTTACTCATTTGGTAGAAATTTACGTCTTCTTCCTATTTTATACCTAAAGGAAGGGTCTAATTTCGTTTCAAACGTTTTTAATTGCAGGATTTTTTAATACCGTGTAACACTCGTTCATAAAACATTGTCTCTACATTTACTAATGTGGCTTGTAAAGTTAACAATATGGCTCAAATTCACTGCCAAATTTTATGAACCCCATATGTTCTCCTCTTGATACCGTATGGAAATGTATGGTTTTCCGTACGCAAAAAATATACGGCTTGTAGTCTGGAAACCCTGAATGCAAGTGTAACGGTAGGCGGAGGTTAAAAATTATCCGGAAAATCGAAAAGTTTTTTTAAAACTGAATTATACCCTTTTTCGAGTATAAAATTGGAAGAAGACATACTTTGCTACCGAATGGGAAAAGAATTAATATTTTTTATGCCTTTTCCATGAGATATAATTAGATTATTAAAGGCATCGAAAATCAATGAGAAAAAATCATACCACATGAGTAGTCATTTTTTACAGAGTATATTCTTGCATGCAGCCAGAAGGAAGTTCGTGCCTACTGCATGAACTTCACATGAGGTATGAACTGCTTGAGTTTTTGTTTTCCTACTTAGCATTGGTCGACATCTCAACGGCCTCCCTTACGTCTAGCAGTAGTCGTGTTCAATGTGACTGGACATTGCGTGGGAGTTAAGAGAATATCAGGGGACCGACTACTTTATTTACAGCCTATCCTCCTTGAGCGTGAATGTTTGTCAATGCCGAATGCCATTGCGGGCACTATGCAGGAAGTGAATGACGGCAAATTGTGACGCAGTAGAACTTGAGCAGTGTAACGCCCCGAAGACATTAGTTCACTTTGTGTGATTCAAGGCCGTCCACGGTGGTTGGTGGTGATTACGCAACGTGGGAAAATAATTCTCCACTGAGCCTGCGACCGTGTCCTCATGACTGCTGCTAACAGTAAAATGTTCGTCTGTATCTGCCGTCCTCGAGTAGGATAAATTTCTCTGCGAAATAAAGCTCTTTCAGTGAAGAATGAAGTCGCGTTCACTAAGGGGGAGAAAGGGCAGTCGAGAAGTCTGACGAAATAGGCTGTGATTCAGATTTATCAAATTCTGATGAGAGGCCTTGGCCCGAAACTAAAAGTCGTCAAGCACAACTTCTGAAATATAACTATTTATACTCATAGCGACAGCGACCATGCGCAGCAAAATCATGCAAGTGAAGGATCGCCTAGACGTGGGTGAACAATCGGGCGTCGTCTATCAGATCCCATGTCGGGACTGCCCTCGCCACTACACTGGACAAACCGGACGACGACTTAGCTCACGAATAACGGAGCACAAACGGGCGGTCCAGAGAGGCGACCCGTTGTCTCAGGTCGCCACTCACACCCTGGAGGAAGGCCACGAATTCAACTTTGCGAGCACGCGGATAGTGGCGCGGGCCAACAATAAGACAGAACGAGAACTGTTAGAGGCCTGGGTGTCTGACACCAACGCTATCAACAGGCACGTTGATATACCCCCTGCTATCACGCGCTCCGTTCCCGCGGCCAAGGGTGCACGCAGTCACGCCACCGTGAGACGGCGTGGGACGCAACTTATCGCGAATACCACCCTCTGCACTCATATCTCCCCCCCCCTTCATGGCGTGACTACAAAAACCACTCATTTGATGTTGCCTTCTCACAGTCTCTGACGATGGCCTCCTGTACGAGACCGAAAGCTCAGACTAATAAACCCACTATCCCAGAGATCGGGTCTTCATCTTCTTTATACCCATAGCTACCCCTAAATGACGTCATCGGCAGGAAAGTATTGGTGTACTTCGCCCAGTTCGTGTTATCCGATCAGATGTCATTTAAGCAACTTTCACAAAGCTCTCTTGGTTAGTCTTTTATTTCGAATGCAGTCAGAAATGTCGCCATTTATTGTCGTATCACAAAGAGAAGAGGCGAGACATTTCACACTGAGAGACCGGTTGTCCATTTTCACGGACTTTCTCGCAGCTGGAGTGGCTCACGAAACCCTTCCTGACGAGCGAAAATTCGCCGCATCACGGTAATCACCAAGTGCGAAGAACTGAGCTACCTCGGGTTCAGTTCAGGGACAAAAAAGCACAGAAATGGAGGGACTAACTAACATAGGTAAGGGTGGCCGGCCCAGTCAGATCATGCCTCGACCCCGAGGCACATGGAAATCCTATTTCGAATCCCGAAGAGTCTCATACTTCGTCTCAAAACCTCACTGTGGCTCCAGAGCAAGCAAGTGCCTCTGGAAAGCTGGCCGACAGCCGTGGACAAGAATGCACGAACACCACCCCACGGTGTGGAGGTTAGACTAGCAGTCGTAGATGGGAACACACATGACATAAACAGGAAGAGATTTTGGTGGAGGCGGTGATGGCGACCATACGGCAAGGCAGCTGAGGGAGTAAATTGTGACTGGCGAGTGCTGACAATTCAGGCGGGCGTGTGGTGCGTGTAAACGGAAGTGCATGCCATGTCGACCGTTGCGACTGCACGTATCACCAGTCGCGTTAGTGCAGTCTTAACAGTCGAAGCATTTTTGTCGTAGGGGAGAGGAAGTTAGATCATTGCATTTCTGTCTGTCAGTTTCTCACTCACTTCGCCACAGCCGTCTCCCAAACATTGGCAGACCCTGCCACGAAAGAAGTGCCCCGATGGCGTCCTAAATCTGAGCCATTGGACCAAAACTTGTGCTAAATGTGGGTTGCCGGCTTTCGCCTCTGGGTACAGCTTTTTGCATCAAGTCAGCGTCTTGACAGTAGCTATCATGCCGTAAACAATTCACCAACGCACACCTACACTTACACACTTACGGACCTCTATTTTGGCCGTGATCAGCGCCCCTCCCCCCTCCCCCATCTGAAATCGCCTTGCCGATAGGCAGAACGGAATACGGAATTCAGACCGTTCTGGGACACGTGAGGGAGCTCGGCGCCTGTTCTGATTGATAAACGCGCTCCCTCCTCCTCCTCCTCCTTTCGCACTAACAAAACACCGAAACCGCAAACAGCTCGTAGTCTTTTTAGGCGCGAAATGGGTCGGGAAGTGCGGCCGTTGTAGGAACACGCCAAAGTATCCTGATAAGAGCCAATTTACGCTTAGCCTATTTCTTGTGCGCAAATAAGCAACTTCTGGCCAAAGCAAAACAGAATATCAGTCAAATAAGCAGTCCTGGTACCTTAATGAGGCAAGTGGTACATTATACGAGACAGAATAATTCCATAAAACGGCATTATGGGAGGGGAGGTCTTCATAAGTGCCTGAACTGGACAACGGGTTCGTGCAGCAGTAGTAGAGCGTTGGACTGAATGATTTTCAGTGATTAAAGAATCCGGGTTCGACTTCCAGGTCCTGCATAGTAGATGATTGAGCTTCTACAGGAGAAGTTCGATTTGGTGGCGCTTTTCGCCCCCCCCCCCCGAGCCGCGCCTGCGCGGCCTTCTTAAGTTTTGTGTTGGCAGCCTTGTACGTAGTGAAACACCAAAATGTCCGGATGTCAGCCTGGACAGATCGACTGAGGCCTCAACCTTATGATTCGGCTTTCCTTCATTGAAAGTTTTTTTCGAGATAAATCATTTTCGGCTGACGTGGGCCCTAAAAGTTATTTTGATTGAATTGTTTTAGAGCTGTAAAAATTTGCAGAGCAGTAATCAGAAGACGAGGTGGCGAGCATACGTAGCTGTCGATAAATTCTCGACGGGCCAGTACAATTATACTGGAACGGGGTAGAAGCAAAAGAATGTCAGTGATAAGAGAAACCGATTAAAAGTTGTCTTAAAACGCAGGCGGGATTTGTGAATGTGGGAGGTGGAGCTGGGGGTAATTGCAGTTAATTGCAGATAATTGCAGATAAATTCTCGTCGGGGTAGCAGTAAAAACACGTCAGTGATAAGATAAATCGATGAAAGTTCGCCGTAAAACACAGACCGGATGTGGAAATGTGGGGGAGGGAGGAGAGGGGTCAGGGGCCGGGGCGAGAGCGGAAGGGCGCGGAGAGGATTGCGGCGTTATTCGACCTTCGACCACTGTAGGCGCGGAGCCCGAACGTGGTTCTTCAGTGCGCACAAGATTGGCTTTCGTAGACTAATGGCGGCTGCTTCCGCTGTTGCTAACAGGCGCTGGCCCAGTAGCTTAGGGTAGCTCGATGGGACCTTATAAATCACACGAAAAGCTTCGTTGGGGTCCACACGATGTCCGGAATCAAGAACATGCGCGAGAATGGCGCTGCTTATGCGCCTAGTTTCGCCTTTTCCCAGTCATGCCGGGAGGTGTTCCCGTATTCTCTCGGATAAACGCCGATTCGTGCGACCAATATAACCTACTCCACAGGAGCAAGTGAAGGTGATCTGAGGTGGCAACTTATCCTTACCTTCTCCGCGTTAAATAGGGTTAGTAGAGAATAGTGTTCGAACCCCTACTGCTGGGAAGGTTAGCCAGACAGCTTGATCAAGGCGTCTGCTTAGGAGTTAAATCACAGCTTCCCCTTGGTTCATTGTTTTGCTTTCCCATACGTAATTTTCTGGTATGAGAAAAGTGCATTTTTAAAAAAGGCTCGGCACGGAGAGCAGCGATCGAGTGAAGGCCCCCAAACACACACGACGAGCCAAAGGTGCCTGTCTTATGGGAAAGGGTTTTACGGGCGGCGTCTATGTATGCATAGAGGAATTGTTGACATACAGCAACCGAAATTAAGCACGACAATTAAAAATATAAACATTTAGTGTCTACAACGATCGTCCCTCAACTCTCTGAGCTGAGATCACTGTAGATAATGCACTAGACCGTCTACAACAGACGACCCAGCCTTGTACGATAAACCACCAAACCGATATAGTCGTGTCGGACCTAAATCCACTGAAATAAGTAGGCATTCTCTGTATGCCACAGATACTTGGAAGCCTTCGCCCGATCCTTACCGACTAAAGTAATATCTGGGCAGGAATGGAGATTATTTTACTTTCCGCACTCAAGTTATCGAGTCTGGCAAGCGGAAGTCTCTTGTACTTCCCAGGAACTGTGGATCCTTCAGAGTTCCGTCTTATCCCCTCACATCTCCTTTTACACTGATGACTTGAGATCGCTAGATGACTGTCTGTTTGTTAAGCATGCAGACGATATGATTGTTCGTCACACTGGCAAAAATCAGACCCATCTCCAGTTTCTGAACGATGGCCTGAACCATGTCTCAGCATGGTCTGGAGATTCATAAATGTCTGCATTCTTTCTCTCGTTCTTTATTGTTCTTCTGCCTTGTATTTGGCAACAATCGTAAAGAGTTTAGAGAATCCTTCTGTTAGTTGAACCCACTGCTTACAAATAGGATGTCTGTTGCCTTAAAACTCGACAATATAGTATGTGTGCTAACTCATGAAATGCCAACCAAAATTCCGAAATGCGCATTCGTTTCGAAGATTTATTAAGTAGGGTGGTAAAACTCACCATCATACAGCGTAATTCTATAATAATTCAGTTGTCTCGGGATGCCAGCTTTCGAACGAACTTCTTTTCGGCTGAATGTAAAAACTGTACCCTGTAAAAAATGACTACCTAAGTAGCATGCATTTTCTTTCCTGTGCTGCGTTTTCAAGTTACCATTTTATTGATTAGTCTGCGTGAACCATGCATTTGTCTCATTGATTTTCGACGCCCCTCAACATTCAATTATATTTCATGAAAAACATGCATAAAATGTTCCTTCTTTTGCTCATTCGGCAGAAAAGGGCGTCTTCTTCCAATTTTATACTTGAGGCCGGGTATCATTCGATTTTCAAAAACTTTTCCCATTCCCGACCAGCCGTTACAATTGCATTCAGGGTTTCCAAAGTACAAGCTGTATATTTTCCGCGTACGGAAAACCATACATTTCTCTACGGTAATAAAGGGGGACCACATAGGGTTCATAAAAATGGGCAGTGTATTTGAGCCACATTGTTAACTTTACAAGCCACATTGGCAAATGGAGAGACATGGCGTTTTATGAACGGCCATTTCGCGGTATTTAAAAGTCCTACAATTAGAGACTTTTTTAAAACCGAATTATGTCCCTTCTTCGAGCATAAAATTAGAAGAAGACCTAATCTGCTACCGAATGAGCGAAAAAATGAATATTTTTATGCATGTTTTCCATGAAATATAATTATTTTTTAAGGGCATCGAAAATCAGTGAGAAAAATGCCTGCTATATAAGTGGCCATTTTGTACAGAGTACAGTTTTTGAATGAGCCGGAAATAAGTTCTTTCAAAAGCCGGCATCCTGTGGTAACTGAATTATTATAAAATTATACTGCGCACTGATTAGTTTTGCAAACCTACTGAATTAATCTTTTCGAAACGAAAATACTTTTCGGAATTTCGGTTGACATTTTATGAGTTAATCCACCTACTGTACGTCCTACATTAACAGTTAAGAAACTGTCGAGCTGTGCATGCTAACAGAAACCGGAATTTTCAATTCTTCAGGTGGTAAATCTCTGAGGGTCTGAGATGAAATTCCAGAATTTTGTCTAGATTATATCGTTCGACTGCCTGTTAGTATCACAACAGGACTTAAAACCATTTATACAGAGACATTACGGTAGATGGGCGTTCACCAGTCCGGTTCCGGAACGTGCTTGTTCCGTAATATTCCCGACCAAAACCGACAGGAAAACGGGCCCGTGGCTCAATGGTGGAGCTTCGCACTCCATGACCAAGGATCCGAGGGATTGGGTACGACTGGCTGATGAAGGCTTAAAGGCCAGAAATGGCCATTCCGATCACCCTTGTCTTTGTCGGTGCCGTTTTACTTGCCCACCAGAGAAATATTTTGTGGGAGGTCAGGTTCCTTTTTAAGAGGTCGTTTATGTGCCTCCCCTTCTCTCCTCGGTTCCCCACCCGGGCGGGATTTCGAATTTGGGCCGCCATATTTGTTTCTATCCGTTTACGTGAGCACTTTTTGAGACTGTTCATTACTCTGCTCATTTCCCTTCAATATCTTGATCCTTTTTACATCCCTTGTTTGTCTGAACTAAGATTATGAGGTCATCTCTGCAGTACGCTATCACATTTTTGAAGGAAATTTAAATCAACCATTTCACTGACGACTATCCATGACGCAAACTACTGCACTTTTCGGTCAATATGTCGTATATGTGATCGCTCTGCGCTAACTTTTTAACACTTATATCAACAAAAGCCTATGCACCGGTGCGGTTGGCCACTCGCACTCAAGCGTCAGCCAAAAAATAAATTATTAATTCCAGGCTTCTTTTCGACAAATCGTCGTTAGATCTTCAACAAATCCCGCTACTTTAGTTGAGAAAATAACACAGTAGAAGTGAAGCCATTTGTCTTCAAAAGACGTGGTTAAATGCATATAGTGATTTACGACTAATCACTCCTCCGTCTTTCTGCTGCTGTCGAACGGTTAGGAAATCTTTATCTTGTGGCAGAGGTGGAGCTGTTTTCATTTGTGCTAAACAAAATTGGTGTAGAGACAGTAAGTCGTTATTTTCTTATTCTGGTGATTTGATAGTCGTTGTCGCTCTCATATGTAAGTCCCGTTTGTTGAGTACTTTTGAAGACATTATATTTGTTAGTAATTACATTACCCCTCTGACTGTGAAGGTGCTCTAGCTCGTTTTTTCGACTTTATTTCACACAAACTTGTTATATTGTCCTGAGAAAATCTTATTCTCTTGCGCGGTGATTTTAATCGCACGGATCTACATCCCTTCATACTTTTAGGCTCTAATGATCTTGTCTCCTTCAATGCTCGTGTTAATGCCGCTCTTGATCAAATTTTGACCAGCCACCTCAAGCTTTTGTGTTAAAATAGAATTCCGTTGTCAGGTTCAGATCATTCTACTTTATTGGGTCTTCCGAAAATTTCTTCTACCTTTAAACGTGCACTATTATCCAGACCTGAGAGAAAGGTTAAGGTCCGCAACACGTCCGTACAAAATATTCGCCAGCTTCAGACTTGCATATCTTATAATATTCCCGCTTTCCTTAGAAAATCAAATGTCGAACCATGCTCTAGTCACCTTACAACGTTTTTAAATGAACTTTTTGGTATTTGCCGTCCTCTTGATACTGTATTGATAAGAACGGATAGAATGTCATCTCCCTATCTAAAATTATGAAGACGCAGAAAGGAACTCCTCAACAAGCCAGGCTTACGTGACAGCCTTAAGGACGTTACCATCTTATTAAAAAGAGAGATTGCCAAACTAACTGGCCTGTTTGTTTTATTTTGAGGCACAATGACTCCCATCTTGCTTCAAACGACATTTCCCTACTACCATGTGTGTTCCCACCCGTGTCTGTGGCAACAGTAAAGAAACACTCTAAAAGGTCCATGGCTCAACAGTGGCCGGACCGGATGGTGTATCACCTTTTCTTCTCAAATCCTGTTGTTCTCAGATAGCCCTCGTTTTAGTGCACCTTATTAAAATGTCTTCAATGAAGTCCAAGTTTCCTGACGCCTGACGTAAAGCGAGAATCACTCCTGTCCCTAAAGAATCGGCTAATTTTGGTCCTAAATCCTTTCATCCAATTGCCTGCTCTTCTGAACTACTAAAGCTTGCTGAATGAGTAGACCTGGATATTACAAACCCATTCTCTTTTGCTTTTTCGATCCTTTACGACTTGCATATAAAGCCAAACATAGCGCCTTAGATGATGTTGCTCTTGTGGTCCACTCTGCCCTAAGGGGATTAGATAAGGGTTGTCGTGAGTACGCATGCGCTTTTCTTGACTACGCCTCCGTCTTCAATACCGTCTCGCGTCCCCTTCTCCATACCAAAACATCCGCGTGTGGCTCTCCAGGCTGGATTGTCTTTTGGCTCGACGATCACTTTACATCCCGCACTCAATTTGTCCACTCTGGCAAGCGGAAATCTACGATCCTTCCCAATGACTGTGGAGTTCTTTAAGGCTCTATTTATCCCCTCACCTCTTCTCTCTCCACAATGATGATCTAAGATCTTCAAACAATCGTCCATTAGTTAAGTAGGCTGACGATGTGGTTGTTGACCACCCTCTCAAAAATCAGACACACTGCAGTCTCCGAAGGATGGCCTTGACCACGTCTCAGTATGACCGCAGGAGAATGGTCTCCTAATGAACAATCAAAAATCAGTTCAGTGTATTTTTCGACGGCGACCCTCTTCTAGTCCTGAATCCTCTGACATTCTTCCTAACTAAGTATCCTCGTCCAAGAACCTTGGCGTTACCTTTTCATCAAATCTCGCATTTTCCCTCCAAACTGAATCCCTTTTCACTAAAGTTCACAAACCTCTTTAATACATTCGTCGTTCACGTTCCTACCACACGCCTCAACCCTTAATATAGCTACTCATAGATGTCTGAATTCCTCCTCTTGTCCTTTATTGTTCTCTTGTCAATTTTCCTGTTTTGCTCCAAAAGATCTGGCATTTTTAAAACGAGTCCACCGAATACTCTCTTCTGCCGCCGGGGTTTTTTATGTCTTTTTAGTCGATATTATCCTAAAACCACATTTACAATCGGTCAAGCAATTTTCTAATCGAATTCTGGATGAGGTTGCCCATCCCATGCATTCTAAACTAATCTCCGCGAAGTCTTCCCGCCCATACGCCGTGGTGTTCGACTTATCTCTTTTCGTACGTCGGCATATCAACATTCTGTGTTGTCAATCCCGACGCGATATCTTACGCGTGAAAAGACAAAAATAATGAAGCTAAGACTCGAACAATTCCCATAATAGTCCTTCCTTTTTGTGTAAGACCTTTTAACTCTTGAGAAATTTATTAACTTATTCTCTGTCCACAGTGAATGAAGCCTACTTTTAGTGGAAATTTTTGAATTTGATAATTTCAAAATAAAACAAATTCCTCTCTCTTCTCTCTGACACGGGAATAGGAATCCCCCGTTATAGAGGTGGTTTTGCGCTAAGTTACAGGAAAATTGGGACTAAGATTAAGCTTGGGTTTAGGGTGAGGGTTAGAACTAGGGTTGGGCTTAAGGCTTGAGCAAGTATTGGTGTTAAGATATGGCAATAGGTAAACTCCCTGGAGTTTACTCCAAGACGTTCCCAATTCCGTATCCTGCCGGTAGCGGACAGGGGGGAAGAGGGAAAATACGGGACGGTGGAATAGAGGCTGGAAGAGGTGGGGGAACAGAGGGTAAGGGACCACAGGGCACGTCCGACGGAAAGTCCGGACGGTCCACACTCCCGACCTCCTCACGATTGTCGCGTTGAGTACGGAGCGTCTTTGTCCCGCGAGAGAGCACCCGCAATGGGCCGCCATAGGGCGGTTCCAGAGACCGGTGGACTCGAGCACATCGAAGGTAGACGTGAGAGCACGTCGCCAAGCCCTTCTCGAGATAAGACGGAGAGGCGGATGGCCTGGGCGGGACCGGAGAAAGTGTCCGCATAAGCTGCCGGCAGCAGTATAGGAGGTTGGTGGAATACTCGACCGCACCAAGAGGATTTGCCGAGATCATCTCACCAGGAAGTCAGACTGTAGCGCCGAAGACCAGTTCAGCTGCATAACAATCAAGGTCCGGCTTGAGGGTGAAGCGGATGTCCAAGGGGACCAAAGAGAGATAGTCTGTCCGATTCTCCGGATCATCCGCGACGCGTAGGAAGGTTTTCAACTGGCAGTAAAACCGCTCGACCATCCCGTTGGCAGCCGGATGATAGGCTGTAGTGCGGATGCGAGTACAGCCTAAAAAGGAGATGGGAGACTGGAAGAGATTGAACTCAAACTGAGCACCGCGGTCAGTCCTGATTGTGGAGGGTGCACCAAAGATGGCAACCCAACAACTGAGGAGAGCCATCACCACCGTTGGAGCAGCAAGGCGGGGGGATAGCTTCAGGCCATCCAGTGAACCGATCCACACAGCTGAGGAGATAGGAACAACCATTTTGGCAGAGGCAGGGGGCTCACAAATTCCAGATGAACATGGCTGAACCTTGCACCAGGGCCGGGGAAAGTGCCAGTAGGGACCTTGATGTGCCGCTGGACGTTACTCCTTTGGCAGGCGATACAAGCTCGTGTCCCTGCCTTGAGGTCCTTGTGCCTGCCAGGCCAGGCGAAGCGGTCGGAAACCAGCTTATAGTTAGCTCAACTCCCTGAGTGAAAGAGATTTGCAGGAAGGAGAAAACTTTGCGGCGGAGGGATGGTGGCAAGAATGGAAGATGGAATGGGGCGGATACGTCGCATAGAGTCGTGCCTTTGCCAGTTGTCAGTGGTAGCTCCAGAAGTTGGAGTTCGGAAACATCCTCATCACAGGGCGAACCGACAAGGCCTTGTTCAGCGGCCATCTCAGCGAGGTCGATCCCGGGTGAAAGCTGGAGGTGAGCGATAGAGGGCCTGGACAGTGCGTCAGCCACCTCATTCCGTGACCCGTCAATATGACGGAAGTCTGAAATGAATTACGAACTGTTATTCAGGTGGCGGATCTTCCGAGAGTTCAGTTTTTTTAGAGTGGGAATGCAGAGCAAAGGTGAGTGGCTTATGATCTTTGAAAATTGTGAACTTTCGACCTTCCAGTAAATGCCATAAGTGCCTTACGGCAAGATAAGCGGCGAGAAGTTCACGTCCGAATGTGCTGTAGCGGCATTCGGCCTTGGATAACTACCTGGAGAAGAAAGCCAAAGACACGGTAGAGTCTGGCGGACGTTGTTGAAGTACCAAGCCAACAGCAACATTGAAAGCATCGACTATCAGAGGTATGTGTGCATCTGCATGAAAGTGAGTCAGGAGGGTGGCGTCAGCCAAAAGGGTTTTACCTGCTTAAATGACCTGAGTGCTGCTGGTGTAAGTTCAAAGGTGCGTTCACGACCAGCCTTAGCAGCCGCAAGACAGGTGAATGTAAGACGGCGGGGACGAGAGAAAACAGGTGGACCAGTCGTTTTAATGTGATGAACAATATCCTGAGGCAATGAGAATTCAGAAAAGTGGAGTTTGGTGAGAATAGGATATTCTGCTAAAAGTTTACGGAAATGACAGTCAAGGTTTGTGTCAAGGACAGGTAGACGGTTGGAAGCTAGGAATGGGTAAAAACCGTTGGAAGAGAGGGCGGTGGCGCGATCATAAAGACGAAGTTGCCTCCAATCACTTAGGAATTCGAAAGCGGCTGGAAAATCAGCACCAAGGACAGCAGTAGGAACATCAGCCACCACAAAGATCCAAGAGGAAAGTCGCCTGAGACCAATGGATCGATGGAGATGAATCTATTGGCAATGGATCGGAAGAGTTTACGGTCTGGAGAAGAAGACCATGGCTGAGGCAACGTCGGTCGGCTGGGATAGAAAGGATAACAATAATCTGAGTACCATTGTCCCCTAAGAAACGTCTGCCACTCGTGTTATCACAGATGTAAAATATGTGACCAGTAAAGTTGCCAGAGACCTCGACCGCATTTACTCTCCGGCCAAGGAGTTTCCCTGCGAGGACTTGAAGGAGCGAGGGGGGACACAGTGGCGCGCCTTATCGCCAAAGTTTACATGATACCAACGTAAGATTTCGGTCCTAGGACGAGATCGGAACTAGGACGGTCAGGGCTAAGGGAACGTAGAGGTCGGCGTGGCTGTAACGCGACAACAGTCGCCGACACTTGGTCAAGCGGACTATATGCAAGCAGCAAATCTAAGTCAGCAGATCAAAGACGTAAGCGTGAACGTCGAAATGGTCATCACTGTTGTGAACGCGAAGGACGCGATTGTCAGTCCTAGGCTACGGATACCAGGACAAGACAGGAATTATGAAAGAATTAATAATTAAATGTCAAACGACCTAATAGCCCAACACATGCAACGCGCGTCGCGTTTAGCATAGTTTCTTCCACTCAGGTAAACAAACAGTAAGCTCAGGAATGGTCAGGCCGGTAGGTAAATGCAATATGGTCTGGCGCCTCGACACACTATCAATATAAACTAAATCACCCGCAAGTCATCGTCGAAAACGACGGTCGAACTGTCATGTTTGAATGTATATGTGCATACCCCGAGGTTTGTTGGCATCTACTATGCCATGGTCAGCAAGCCATGGTCCTTGCAGTTTGTTGTGTACTGGCAGTTCTTCGGTACCTGGTTACCTAGCGGTAAATGCGTTTGCGTTCCCGCTGGGCATGCAGGTCGTGTGCATGACCGCCCAGTCATACGCCTTCTCCTTCTGACCCGTTATGATGTTGTTAATGATTAAAATTCCGGTCAAGAGTTTGTTATGGCCGGGGAGTATGGAGGGGAGCGCCAGGGTGCGGATACGGCCGCACCATCCACCTGTGCCCTTCCTGCTTCCGCTCTTCTTAACTATGTCTTGATACCGACCCCAGGTGGAAGCGGAGGAGAGTGCGGTAGATGCTGCGCAAGTCCACTCTCACTATAAACTAATTCACGTGAAAGTCACCGTGCATGCCTCATCTTGCTGTGGGACACATGGTGGTCATTGTCGGATGCGACGGTCGAACTATCGTGTATGTATACAATCCAGGTGACTTGACTGATGAAATATGCCTAATCGAAATAGGAATCACAAATCAATCTGAACCAATCCAAACGCATCCACCAATACATCCAAGTAATAATGAAAACTCGAAATAAATAGCACAAGTACTGTTTCATTGATGGGAACGAACACATTTTTTACGAAGTGTGCATATGTGAAAAACGTGCCACATAAGTAGACGTAAAAAGGCGCGACCACTTGTCCCAAGTTGCCATGCATACGTTGGAAACGGGACACAAATTCGCCTGGAACAGGACTCGCATTGTAGGTGTCTGCTCATCCAAAAAGGGCTGTGAATTTTTAGAGGCCATCCATTCTGATAGCGCATGCATCAATCGACACGTAGAATTGGATACGGTGTACAACAGCCTCAAGGAAAAGTGGAAAAGGCGTTAGCCAATCAGAACATTACACCAGCAGAAGTGACAAGGCAAAATCGATTTTTTCGGCGTATTTAAATGTTAACTGTTTTGCACACTTACTTCACGTCTGAAGACGACTTGGGGAATCAGGATCGAAAATTTACAATAAAACTTGCTTATCTTTCCCAAAGAGCTTATTTCTTTCGAATAAAATTTGTCCATGCAAAAAAATAAGTAAGTAAATCGAAATAAACACACAGTTGGTTAGCGAATTATTTCTTACATACGTTTTCACTAGGTATCTTTCTAAGAATTAGTGTTAAATGAGGTATGACAAAGAGTCAAGTGCCTAATGTCCAATCATGGGTTTCAGAATTTTGTGGCGCAAAATCGGCGAAATTTTTCCATATGCTGTTATTGAGTGCGGAGAGGATCCCACTTGATTTCGCTAACAGAGACTTTCGCATAAAAAGAGAAATCACCTTTTGACCGGCCGTTTCATGACTATTAAATATGACTATGACACGAAGGTGCAGTCTTGAGGGTACCATTTTGCCTTTTTAAGACAATTTTTCATTTATCAAGTTATTTTCGATTTTCTGACGGTGGAAGACGCTGGCTTTCAGATCTTCCTTGAAATATCAGCGAAAACTTCCCGATTTTCAGTGGTTCCAAACCGACCGTTCATAAAAATAGACCATGTGCCATGAATTTGTCAAAACCTTTTAAATAAGATACCTATTAAAAGCACTTACCGAATTAGCGAGTGCTTGCTCGATCTTTTTTGCGTAGATGATCATTTGAGCCACATCTGCGAACCCGCCCAAACCCGAAACCTCATGGTCGAAAAAATAAACATCCACAACAGAATTCAACGTCGACTATCCTTCCGATCAGTCAGAAACATTTTCCAATAAATTACTTATTTAAAAAGTGTTTTGATACCGTATTCCGTCGATGGTATATACGGTAAAGCCGAGAAAAAATGACATTTTCGATCGTTCTTTTCATCTTTTCGAAAAATACCTACAATTGTATTGCCGCAAATGGAAGAGCTTACTGTTCTCATTATATCATAGCCTTTTCATCATTCTTACCTACTGTTAGGGTTCGATCTAGGATTATGAGTGCACAGAGTAGCGAGCATATAAATACTGATACATTGCACAAATTGCCGGTTATGCCCGTTCTGTTTCTACATCACGTGAAAATGATGATGGCCATCATGGCGATCAATCATAATGTACCAAAAAATTTCGCGACTGCTCTTCAGCTGCTTCCTGTCGCTTCAAATTGTGTTTATGAATTCACATGCACTTGCGGATGCAAGTACATTGGGCGAACGCAAAGGCACTTGGCAGCCAGGTCCATTGAGCACCTGCCCAAGTGGCTCCTAAGACAAGAAAATAAGACCCCGCGTTCCTCCATTACGAAACACCTACTTGATACTGGTCACACCGTCGACCCCAAAACTTCCTTCCGAGTACTTGTTCGGGAACGAACAACTCGGACATTGCGTTACCCGGAGGCGGCTTATATACGACGAGTGAAACCAGATCTTTGTAAACAATTGGAACACGTGGTTAACCTAACATTGCCATGGTAGCCTCTAGCTCCATGATTCCCCCTCTCTCCTCTCATTTTTTGCTCTTCAACGTTCCCCCTTTTTTCACTTTCTTCCTCTACGGTGTTTGTGTTAATAACTTTATCGATTAGCCAACTTTACCCAAAACCCTGACCTTGCTGTTTCTGCATCGATTTTCTGCACGAATTCAACTCTGTTGTATTGTTCTCACTCGTTATCTCTCTTATGAAGCGACAGGAAGCAGCTGAAGAGCAGTCGCGAAATTTTTTGGTACCAATAAATCCTGCCGTTCTTGCCTACTTCAGCTTCGTACCGGGGACAAAATGCTTCAAATTCAATCATAATGTATCCGCAAACGACAAACCAATACCAACACTTTTAAACAAAAGACTGCCTGTGGGCGTTATTACTGTACTTTAAGACATGAAATCACAAGCATTCTCAAATCTTAATTTTAGAAATCGATAA